GCAGCGCTACGTTGTTCAATTTCGTAATTTAGATTCTGTTTGATCTCCTCTATTTGAGTCGTATAATTTTCCAACTCTTGTCGAAGAAGACTGATCTGTTTCGCAGTGGTATCTTTAACTGCACTCATCTCGGTAATTTTGGTCTTGTTCATTGAAAGTTTCTATTAATAAATGATTACAATAATTTCACGAGAGTGCCTTCAGGATGACTTAAGAAATTCAAAAAAAAAAAAAAAAAGTCATTACCCCTTTCAAATCAGAGACAATTTCTTCATGCAATTTCTCTTTCGATTCAACTTCCTTTATTTTCAACTCCAATTGGCAATGAATTTCGTTTAATTCTTCGTCTCTTTCGTTAATAGATTGCTCCAAAGCTGTCACTTGACTATTCGACTATATTAAGTTTAATATTGTAATTTTCGAGTCCATTTAATTTGCATAGAAATTCTAAAATTCTCGAAAGACGAACCTTCTTGAGAGATTCAGTTAGATTTAATAATTCCTTTGACTTTATTTCTAATTCGTTTTTGACCTAAAAAATTTGCAATTATTTAGAAAAAAAAAAAATCTTAGTGTCGTGAACATAAAGATATCTAATACCTGCCTTTTCAAGAGACTGTGTCAGGTCTGTTATCTCTTGTTTTTGATTATCCACTTGAGCCTTGGTTTCCTCGTGGTGACGCAAATCATTTTCTCTGCAAATATTGTGCAATGCATCAAGTTCTTGTGCCAGCTGGTCGTTTTCACGATGTACTGCCTCCAAGTCCTTTGTAAAAAAATATAAACTAATTTTAGAGAGGAGCTCTTAATTTTCAAAAATTCATATTTCAAATTTGGCTGCCTACCTCCCTTAACATCGCTGTCTCTTCCCGGAATTGATTTTCCATCCTATCCATTTCTTCTTCAAAATCTTGAATAGTCTTAGAATGAATGAAGCTGTTCGACTCACATTCCATCATCAATTGTTCAGTTTCCAAACATTTTTCTCGTAATTGAAGTGTTAATTCCGCCACCTTATCTCGCAGATGGCCAAGACTCTGTTAGTAACAAGGAGTGACGGTTATAATAGACATCAACTGAAAAAACGCAATTTGATAAATCTCCAATGCACCACACCTCTTCGTATTGCTCACTAAAATCTCCGTTCAAAATTCGAATATCACCACGTGAAGACGCGACGCTTATGGGTCGACTCCTGATAATTTCAAGTTCTGAATGCAAATCTTCATTCTCACTTTCGCGCGAAACGAGCTGTGATTTAAGATCTGTAATTTGCTGTAATAAATATTTGTTCGAAATTAAGCATACAAAGAATTCTGATGTGAAAACACCAGCCCGCAATGTTCATACATTTCACACATACCCCTTTCAATTGTTGAACTATGATGCTATGTTTTTCGATCTCTTCTTGTCTTGCTTTACTTTCAGCATCCTTGATGACCTTAAGTATTTCTGGGTCATCTTCTCTGTCCGATCCAGTCTTTCTCAAACCCTCAAAATTTTTTAACTTCGTCTCTTGTAGTTTTTTCAACTCGGTATTAGATTCCATCATTTGATTTTTGAAATTAAGTAGCTGT